TATATATCTAGCATTAACAATTGTGTTCTATGAGTAAAATTTCATTCTGAAAACTTTTATTTACGGGTAGTAATTTACATATCATATAAGTTTCTGGCATATAATATTTGTTATGTAAATAACGTTGGCCAAAAATTTTGTAGAGCTAACAAATAAAATCTAGTAGTGCTGGTAAAACTTTCGCACTATTTAATTGCTAATGTAAAAGTTACGTACGCACGTACTTACGCGCATACGTACAATTTTGTATTTTTATTGAATCTATTCTTCCGAAATTTCAAACTTAATCGAATCGGCTGGAGTACCATTCGGTCAATTTTTATTAGGTGTTCCAGAAATTATGAAAATAGCAGTAAACAACATAGTAAATTTTATTTTGCGGGCCGTGCGGGCGGCAGAAGTACAAATTTTTAGGCCCATGCCACGCCTCACGATCATTTTAAACATTTAACTCAAGTTCCTGATCACAATTTTCTTAATAATTGGCCAACTTTAGCTATATATAATACTTTTAATTTTGACAAAATTGTGTCCTTTCAAGAAAATAGCATCTAGAAAGTTGTACCAGGCTACATTTTGTATATTATCGTTGAACCTTCAGAAATTTTTTAAATAGAATATCTCAATGATTTATTGGTTTAATAACCTTCAGAAAATACTTCAAATTAGCTCGTGTTACGTTCAGGATTGGGAGAGCAGTACTTACGCATTGACAGATTAGCTTCGAGCGTGGTATAATTATTCAGGATGGATGTTTAAAAGAGATTCGGGTTTGATGATAGTTGACTATTAATAAGAATAATTAGTTGGTAAGTAAAGAAAAGTACGTTATTACTTTATTTATTATGCAACGATCAAGGTGATTGATTATCTTCTTTATTAGTTTGAGAGTTGTATTTATACATTTTAGCTTTGGGAGAGAGTTTCGAACCCTCACTACGTAGCAGCTATCTATCCTTGTTTGAGGGTTATTCACTCTCGTTAAGAGTTATTCACCCTTTATGAGGGTTATTCACCCTTCTGAGAGTTAAAACCACCCAGCTAAGCCTCGGTTATACATGCCCGATGGGGTGTTCGATGTACTGTACTATGAAAATCAAATCTATATCGATATGTAGTCCTATCGTATATGAAAATCAATTAGTAAAGATTTTTGAGAAAATATATGGCGATTTTCTACAAAAAATTGCAAACTTCAAATTGTATCACATTCTACATATCAACCTATTTAGAAATTTCGCGTGAAAGCATATGGATGGTAAATTTTAATGAAATAGAGTGCTTTTTTTCATAACCTAAAAAATAATTAAATTTAATCGAAATTATACTGTTGCCGCAGTATTTTTATTATTAACGTAAATTTAATAATCCATTATTTTTTTAGTTTATGAATAAAAACTCTCTTTTACACTAAAATATGCTACCATTAAACCCTCATGCGAAATTTCAAAATAGATTAATATGTAGAATGTCGAGGAGATACTTTACAATTTTTTGTAAAAAATCGCCATATATTTTCTCAACATCCTATATATTAATCTATTTAGAAATTTCGCATGAGAGTTCAATGGATAGCGTATTTTGATGTAATAGAGCTTTTTTTCATAACCGAAAAATACGAAACTATACTGTTGCCGCGGTAGTTTATTTACGAATGTTACACAAAACTTTACAAATTTGATTTACATAGTACCGAACACTCCAATGCCCAATGCAGTTATATTTAAGTATTAATCATTATAAGGTTCATGTGAAGTAAATCTGCTAACGCTTTTCTTGATCTGAATTTATTGTTAAAAATTACATGATGCGTGGTTTTTTTTATCCATTTTCCATAATTGAAAATGGAATATAAAGCTGCATGAATCATAATTTGTCTAAACTCATTTTAAAGAATAACTAAATGTTAACAAACACGAAGTTTCTAAGATTTTAGTAAATGAAATCCACGTTCTTGAAATAACATACACTGCGATTGAATTACTTGCTCCCAATATTGATATTATACTCTGCGAAATTCTTTTATCAAGCATACCATGTTTTATCTAATTTGCGTTCATTTTTGATCGCTTTACTTTGTTCTGAAAGATCGTATAAATGATTATAAATACTCTGGGAGAATTGTCGAATTTATCGCGATTATCGCACACTCCAATGTTACACATAGATGTTATGCTTGAGGATCTGCAAATCACGTTTAAAATTTTAACCTTTAGAGTTAACTTTTTATTTAAATATCGATATAATTACAATAATAAATTTTACTATTGTCTTTACTCTCAAAATGACCACTGAACAAATATTCAAAAATGATATTTTGAAAGGGAAGGTAGCCTTCGTTACTGGAGGTTTGTTAACAATTAATCATTTGCCCTATGATAATCTATTGTCGTTGACGCTAATTCCTCGAATTCTTACAAGGTGGTAGTGGAATATGTAAAAGTATGACTGAAGCAATGCTGAGACACGGTGCAAAAGCTGTTATTATAAGCAGAAGGTTTGTCAGGATGCATTAAATTATCTTATTTATAATTTATCTCATTCTTTTATATTTTCAATTGTTGGATAATTTAGTCAGGATAGACTTGATAAAACTGCCGAACAAATGCGAAAGGAAATTGGTGCTGCAGTTCTGTAATTTTCGTTAAGTTTCTTCAATTGCTTATGTATGTTATGCGTTAAATTAGAACCGGTGTTGTCTTAAACTAAAGTTTAAGCTTGAGATGCGTAAGATTAAATTAACTGATTTGCATCGACAATTTATATGACTCAAGCTGAAAATAATAAATATTCTACATGATCACTAATATTTCCATCGCGGCGGATTGCCGAATTTGACCTTTATTTTAAGTCACCAAATTTAACTAGATAGATCTAATTTTTAGGGGTTTATTTAAATTAAAATATCAAATAAGGACCAACGTTTATAAATTTAGGGTTTTAAAAAAGGTCAAATTCTACTAATCCACCGCGGTGCTATTAAGTTTATTTCACATATTTGGTTTACTTCTACTTAATTTTTGGTAGTTTTCTTCTTCAATTCATACCGGTTCTTTCTTGACGCACGACATATATTATATATTACACTTATATTTACATATAAATTCTTTAGCGCAATTGCGGCTGATGTCCGTAAACCTGAAGAAATTGTCAAAGCTGTAGAACTTACAATAGAAAAGTTTGGTAGAATTGATATTCTTGTTAATGGTGCAGGTATTTAATTCTTACCTAATACTTAGAATCTTTAAATGTTCGTGTAAATTTAAAATTTAAAACTCTTTTATTAGCTGGAAATTTCCTAGCACCTATAGAATCCCTTTCTTATCGAGGTTTTCGTACTGTCATTGAAATCGATTTAATTGGAACTTTTAATGCGTGTAAAGCATGCTTTCCTCACTTGAAAAAATCCAAAGGTGTTGTGATTAATGTTTCTGCCAATCTTCATTACCAATGTACGTATTATTATTTGTTATTTTATTTTTTGTTTTCACGCAGCTTTATTAAAAATTCTTTTCCCCTTTTTTAGCCACACTTTTTCAGGTATAATTTTCATACATCATAAACCTAGTACCCTGGTGAAAAAAAGTGACGGTCATTGTTATATTCTACTCGAACTATCGTGTTCTGATTGGACAAAATCGACGATCCATAACAACATATATTACATACTTTCTTTAAACTTTGAGCGATGATATTTCAGTGACTACTTATCTAAAATTGAAGATTTTTTTATTTTAATTCTATGAATTCATAGAATTAAAATAAATAAAAAAAAATTGTATCATTTTAGGTAGGTAGTTATTGAGATATCATCGCTCAAAGTTTAACAAAAATTTGGGCGATTATCAAAAAAGGTCGCGATAAAGTTTTTTTTTTTTTTTAAACTAGTGTGTAACCCATCGCTTACGCTGACGCACTATTGTTAAGTTATAAATAGGATAGTTTTACTATATATATAAGAATATATAGTATTAGAGCTCATCGTAAAATGGAAAGTTATATGGTAAGAAATAAACATCGTATACAAATACGTTATACAGAATACCCAGAGCGCTCTAAAAGTGCTGTGATGTGACTTATAGTTTCATCGATTAGTTAGTGCCACATATTGGCTCTCTTCCAACTGTATATTAGTAACTTGCTAGCATGATCTTTTTTTTTAAATAGTGATTGTAATCCAATACTGCAAAATAATACTATTACTCTGGCTGCTGTGCTACAAGCTATTTCACGGAACTTTTAGGTGCCGCCCTGGATAATTCAGTTACACGAAAATGGAAGACTTGTTCGTAGGCTTTCCGTTTAAATATTGGTGCGATCGTTCAACTTTGTTATCAGTTATATAGAATCACACTAATATGCACTGTCCGTCTACCGTGCATATTCCAATTTTTTAAATTTTGAGTGGTGATATCTACCTATCTAAAATCGATTATTTTAATCATAAAAAAAATTTTCATCGATTTTAGGTAGGTAGTTATCGAGATATTCTCGTCAAAAATTTAGACGATTATCAAAACATAGGTTTTTCCAAACTTGTAGCAATGATATCTAAAATTGATGAAAATTTTTTAATTTAATTCTATGAACTCAGAATTAAAATAAAAAAAAATTTTATCGATTTTAGCTAAGTAGTTGTCGAGATATTTTCGTTCAAAGTTTAACACAAATTTATACGATTATAAAAACGAAGGTTGCGGCTAAGTGTTTATCTCGATAACCAAACTACTAGTCTAAAATTGATGAATGTTGTTTTATTTTAACCCTATTGGATTCATAGAATTAAAATAAAAAAAATTATCAATTTTAAATAGCTAGTTCTCGTTTAAAGTTCACCAAAATTTAAACGATGATCAAAACAAGGTTGAGCCAATGATATCTCGATAACTACCTACCTAAATTGATGAAAATTTTAAGTAAGTAGTTGTCGAGATATTTTCGTTCAAAATTTAGCAGTAGTTACTGAGATATCGCTCAAAGTTTGAAAAAAGTATGTAATATTGTTATGGATCGTCGATTCGTTCAATCAGAACATGATAGTTCGAACAATGATCGTCACTGTTTTTCGCCATGGATAGGGTACTATCATGAACCATCATGTGTAATTTTTTCAATTGAAAACTATATTTTATGTTAATAGTCTCACGCAATGGCTGCTAAAGCGGGTGTTGATGCTTTGACAAAGGTATATTAAAAGATATTATATTATGCATTTGGTTATGTAACTTATTTTATAATTTTATAATATATATTATCTAATATTATAGGCATTAGCTGTCGAATGGGGTCCACATCACATTCGTGCTAATGTAATCGCTCCAGGTCCAATTGGTGAAACAGAAGGTTTTGCAAGACTTCTTCCTTCTAATAAGTCTTCAAATTTCGTTCGGGAACTTCCTCTTCAAAGAGTTGTAAGTATTTATAAGAATTTATAATATATAATATGAATGTTTCTATATCATTTGTTGTATATATTGTTATAATGTTTTGGTTTATTTCAGGGAAAACTTAGAGACATCGAATATGCTACACTTTTCTTAGCATCAGATGCATCTAGTTTTATGACTGGCTCGATTTTATTGGTTGATGGTGGTGATGCGTTAAGGAAAATTGCTGTGTTGCCCTATCCAGAAAGTGTTATTAATCCAAAAAAATTTTTAGGAAAATTATAAATTAAGATTTTTACGTACTAAAATGCACCTATGGTGTTCTACACCTATGCATACATTATATCAAAACCTGGCTAATTAATCGGTGCAGTGTGTCTTAAGTAAAAATGCTTCACGCCCTCCAAAACCCTTCTTAAACCCAACTTTAACGTGAAAAAATTTGTATCAAAATTTTCTATACAAAATTTAAAGTAAATTTTTAAAAAAATTATATATAGTTACAAAATCATCATAGGTGTATTTTATAATAAATAATTAAATATCTTGATATTTAATAAGTAAAATTATAAGAGTAAATCTATTTGTCACTGGTGGTGACACATGTAGCTAATCAAAATATTTGTAACAAAGAATGTACAATCCCAGAAACAATTTAGAAATTTTAAAAAAAAATTACATCATTTTTTATTAAAAAGTTACAAAAAATTATATCATCTATTACTGTATTATTCTTAAAAATAAAATAAAAAATTTAACTACTAAATCTTTATTTTAACCACAAACCAACTATAACTTCAATTGTGTACTGAATATTTCAACAATGCAATGTGACCAATTCCAAGCTCAAAATGTTAATAATAAGACCAAGAATGATGTAATAAAAGTTCAAACAACAATATCAAAAGGATAAAACCTGTTAACAAAAACTTTAATAACAAAAAATGATTACAACAAGAAGGTAAAACTGCATTAGAAAAATTTGATAAATTATAGCTATGAAGGTTTTTACAAGATTCTGGTTCTAATTATTACTATTTGATATTTTAACAAAGCTCAATAAAGCTAAACTTATAAAAGAAAAAAAAAATTAGTTCAAGTTGACAAGAAAAAAAAAAGCAAACAAAGAAAAAAAATACCAACAGTATTTATTTTACAAGATTCTGTTTTCTAATATCTACTACAGTATTTGACATTTTAACAAAGCTCAACAAAGTTAAACCTATAAAAAAGAAAAAAATTAATTCAAGTTAACAAGAAAAAAAAAAGTAAACAACAAAAAAATACTACCAATAGTAGTTATCTTACAAGATTTTATATTCTAATTACTACTATTCAATATTCTAATAAAGTTCAATAAAACTAAATTTACAAAAAAGAAAAAAAATTAGTTCAAGTCGACAAGAAAAAAAAAGCAAATAATGAAAAAAGCCTCTAATAGTACTTATTTTACAAAAGTTTAGTTCTAATTTCTATTATTCAATATTTTATAAAATTAAATCTACAAAAAAAAAAATTAGTTCAAGCTAATAAGAAAAAAAGAAAAAAAAACAAACAACAAAAAAATCTCAATAGTATTTACAAGATCCTAGTTTTAATTTTTACTATTTAACTTTTTAATAAAGCTAAACCTATATAAGAGAAAAGAATTAGTTTAACAAAAAAGCAACTAATAAAAAAACTCTACAATATTTAAATTACAAATTCTAGTTTTAAACCCTATTAGCTACACTCTAGCAAAGTTAAACCTACAAAAAAAGAGTTCATATTAATTCAAAAAAAAAAACAACAAAAGAAATACTATTTATCTTATTCTAGTTCTAATCTTTACTAACTGGTCAATAAAGCTAAGAAGTTTTAAACAGTTTAATAAATAGAAAAAAAAACTAATTAAAAATAAAAAAACTAAATGAAAACAAATAAATAAATAAATTGAAAACAAAAAAAATTATAAAACAAAACTATCAAAGCACAAAAGATTTAAATAAATTTAATTCAGATTAAAAATGATCTAACCCCAAATCCAGTACTGAGGTTTGTCATTACTAGTGACAAGCATATTTTTTTCAAATTATAAATATAAAGAAATATATATAAGGTTATACAAACTTAATAAATCAGTTCTTATAACTCATCCAGATCAAATTTTACAAAACTTTAAAAAAAATTTTTAAGTCTATTTACTATCCGAGTGGGTTTTTCTAAAATTAATAAAAAATTTTATAGGTTTTTTATATATAAAATTTTTTGAAAATAAAATTAAAAGCCAGGTTGCTAGGTCACTTCAAATATTTTATGTTATAAGAACCTATTTATTAAGTTTGTATAGCCTAATTTGTATATAAGTTTTAAAATTATCTTTTTTTATTTTTTTTATTTTAAGGTGTCCTTCGGGACCAAGCTTTATTGATGTTTAGCTGTTGACCACATAGGTCTACATTTAGTATTACAATGAAAGTACACTAGCTACA